AGGCAGCTGTACAGGTGAGCAGCGACTGTACCTGTCACCGAGGAGACTGTCATGGCCGCCTTGAGGCAGCTGTACAGGTGAGCAGCGACTGTACCCGTCGCCGAGGAGACTGTCATAGCCGCCTTGAGGCAGCTGTACAGGTGAGCAGCGACTGTAATACAGATTACAGACGATGGGCGCGTGGACTGAAAATAAAACCAATAGTGACTGTTCGTCACACCGAGATTTTGTTTCATAAGGCACGAACTGTAGATCATAAAGTGCGTGATTGCAACAACTGTGAATAGTGATTGCATCCACCAGGAACTTGACATCGAAATAACGTTGACTGAAAGTTGTTCCAACAAATTAAACTTGCAATCAACGTTGTTTTAACGTTATTCACCTGGGGAAAGTTATTTTGATGGTTTCCATTACTAATGTAATTTTTCCCCCTAGACGCGTCTGCAACCTGCGGCTGGTGTACCGCAAGAACAGCGACGGCGAGACTTGCTTCGCACAAATGAAGGAGGAGAAGATTGATTTACAGGTAAATAAATCCTGCCGTTGTTATTATAAGAGGCCACTCGCTGGTATTTGCTCACTCTCATCTATAAAAGAAACTATGCAGTTGGCAGTGTAAGAGTACTTCATAATATAATTCAATAATGTATAGGATGGATTTGAACACATTAACAAATTTAAAATCGTTGAATGATGAATGGGATGTCTGTATGTTAGTTAATTAGCTCAGCTGTTTCCAGTAACTCATTGTGATTAAGTAAAATGATGCACTGAAAGTTTAATGACCACTCCTAATTACAGACAATCGAGGCCGATGATGTGCAAGAAACCTTCATCCAGCTCTCCCGGACCAGCTTCAACGGGACCGTCGGCCCCTTGTGGAGGGTGAGGATGACCACATCAACCTCCATAAGTGTTCATGACAAGTCGGAGTCACCTAGTACGAAATCCAGTGCATTTGGGTATGAAAATCACGTTTTGTTCGGCTTTCATCACGGAATAACAGATGGCTTTACTTCAGTTAGGCTAATTGGCCATTTTATGAACTTTTTGAATAAAGCGATAGCGGGCGACTTGGTTGACTCAAGTGAACAACTCGCAGAACTGGCGGATGTTGACCTCAATAACATGGAAGTGTTGCAAAAGGTTATGTTCCAGATGGCCGATCCTATAGAGAAAGGAAAACTGGAAAAGGAGTTCAATAGCTACGCTGAAGTAAAACCGGTGTTCCTGAAAGCCATACCTGCACTCGGAGAGGTGGAGAACACAACCCTAAGCCTTCGCCATGACTTCGACGAGGCGTCGACCAAGAAGTTCCTGTCGCTGTGCAAGAGCAACGGCGTCTCGTGCCACTCTGGGTTCACCACCGTCCTCAAAGTCGCGTTGCTGGAACTGGTCCAGTCCCATGGGCTGGATCAGGAGGAGTACGAGATGCTGACTATGCACGTAACTAATGGAAGGAGGTACTGGGACACCATTAAGATTGATACCGAGCGACAATACGGTGCATGTTTCATTGCGACACCTCTGAGGATGAAACTCCCAAAAAATGCCCAAGAAAATTTCTGGATTCATGCAAAGGAGTTGCATAAAACTTTCCATTCTAATCTTAAAAACGTATTTTCTTTCAAGTATATTATCATCGCTGTCGCTGCTCAAGGCCTAAGTGCGGGATTTGACGAAATGCAGAAACTCTCTAACACTGATTCTAGTAGCCTTGATACTGCTGGTGCAAACACAAATGACACTAGCAGTGCTAGCCCCAACCCCACCATCGACTCTGGCAATGGCCAAAATCAAATGCGGACTCTGAATTCGTTCGACACGACCAACATGGGCGACGTCACCGACTTCCTGTCGGGAAAATTCGCCAAGCAAAACGGAGAGCCAGCAAACGAGTACGCCGTCGTCAGCGACGTCACGCGGCTGACTTCGACTCACGCTCACAAAGGGAACATTTGTTCGCATGTCTTCCACACGTACAACGGCAGACTCATGTACAGCCTGGCGTACAACACGTACTACATGACGAACGCCACGGCAGCGGAGTACGTCAGGATCATCGCTGACGTCATGCAGTCCCTCCTCTGATGCTATAGAATACGTCAGGACCATCGCTGACGTCATACAATCCCTCCTCTGATGCTATAGAATACGTCAGGACCATCGCTGACGTCATGCAGTCCCTCCTCTGATGCTATTCGTTCGACACGACCAACATGGGCGACGTCACCGACTTCCTGTCGGGAAAATTCGCCAAGCAAAACGGAGAGCCAGCAAACGAGTACGCCGTCGTCAGCGACTTCACGCGGCTGACTTCGACTCACGCTCACAAAGGGAACATTTGTTCTCATGTCTTCCACACGTACAACGGCAGACTCATGTACAGCCTGGCGTACAACACGTACTACATGACGAGTGCCACGGCCGCGGAGTACGTCAGGATAATAGCTGACGTCATGCAGTCCCTCCTCTGATGCTATAGGCTACGTCAGGATCATCGCTGACGTCATGCAATCCCTCCTCTGATGCCATAGGCTACGTCAGGATCATCGCTGACGTCATACAATCCCTCCTCTTATGCCATAGACTACGTCAGGATCATCGCTGACGTCATACAATCCCTCCTCTGATGCCATAGACTACGTCAGGATCATCGCTGACGTCATGCTATCCCTCCTCATAGTTGTTACCCTCATATTCGGGCTGATGATGGAGGTGCTCAAAGTGAAAACGCTATACCTGAGTAAACTTAGTGATCGGATTCACTATTTCAGAACTCCAGTCTTAGTCATTTGGTAGACGGAGTGGCATAAAACTTTATGGGTAAAGTTCGTTCAAGATTTACTGGAAATTTTCATGTCCGTTAAGCTGATTAAGTTGCCTTAAAAATGTAATTGCCGCTTTTTCTCTTCAGTTCGCTTGATCAAAAATTAGAGATTTCGCCTATTGTTGCACAAATTAATTGCGATTCTACTCTTCCATTTTGTTTATTTATAATTTCACGAAATAATTATAGATTACTAAAATAGGTGTTGACATATGTTATGGATTAATTTGCGTGGTTCATATGTACATTTTCAAGGGTTGTGCTGTCTCAATATATATGAGTATATAAAATACCACCAATTAAGAATGGTTTCATAATTTTCCTCAAATGTTTCTTAAAATCATGATCTGAAGCTTCCATTTGAACGAAAATAAGTGAATGATTTGCAAAATAAAACGTTAACTAAATGGACTCCTAGCTCAGTGAAAACTTAAATAACGTTGATTAAAACCCGTAGCATCAATAGAATCCAATGTTTATCCAAGAGATATACGTATTTTTCACATCCTTTTTTCAATAATCGATTGTTCGTATGGAAAAAATATTAACTTACAATTTTCTGTCTCATCTCATGACGTTCGACAATCCAAACGAATGTCAAACTCTTTATTTCGTATGTCATACTCTTTATTTCGAACGTCATTCCTTTTTTTCTGGAGAGATGGCGCCATCTTCCAGGACTGAGATCCCAAAGCTCACGTACTCTACAGCGTGTGCCCAGCAAGGAGGCTGGATATGTCCTGTAAATGATCACATGTGTCAGACAGGCACCAAGAAAAATGGAAATATTTTGTCCAATTATCGATGCATTAGCGCCATCCTGACCTACTTTCGCGCAGAGAAGAAGCGTATCAGTGCTACGTACAGAAAGTGCGTTACAATTTGCCCAACATGATACATTCATTGTTGTATCGGTGATGAGTTCAATGGTTAAATAGGAATAATAGTAATTAATAATATAATAATAATATTTATTAATAATATTATTAGGGGACACTTCCCCTATCATTTTGGAAATGCCCAACATGATGAGAAAAGTAACAGCAGACCAGATTGACAATACTCTTATTTTAATTGCCGTGTTCTTTAGAGAAATCGATCATGAGCAAATGACCAAATGCATTGTGGCCTCAAACTTCTATGGACGAAGATAACCTCCCCAGCAGGAATCTGACTTTAAAACAACGTCGAAGTCAGGTACAAATGTTGATCAACCCAAATTGAAGGTTAAATCAACGTAGGAATGTGACCAACATCAGTGAAGATTGTAGCTCGCACCTCACCGCCGGGAGCTCGGTGTGCGGGCGCAATATGATCCTCCCGACGGGTACAGGACATGGTTCGGCAACAGCGCCGCGGCTCTTTCTATTTCGGTCATGCCCTTGCAGTCCATACAGTCACGTCCATGCAGTCCATACAGTAATATCCTTGCAGTCCATACAGTCATGTCCATACAGTCGTCCATACAGTCCATGTCCATGCAGTCGTCCATACAGTCATGTCCATGCAGTCGTCCATACAGTCATAACTTCACACGGCGTGCACCAGTGACGATTGTAGCTCGCACCTCACCTCCGGGAGCTCGGTGTGCGGGCGCAGTATAGATCCTCCCAACGGGTGCTTGGTTCGGCAGCAGCGGCAGAGGACCGTCTATTTCAGTCATGCCCTTGCAGTCCATTCAGTCCATACAGTCCATGCAGTCGTCCATACAGTCATAACTTCACTTCACGGGTACTTGGTTCGGCAGCAGCGGCAGAGGACCGTCTATTTCGGTCATGCCCTTGCAGTCCATTCAGTCACATCCATGCAGACCACACAGTCCATGCAGTCGTCCATACAGTCATAACTTCACTTCACGGGTACTTGGTTCGGCAGCAGCGGCAGAGTACCTTCCAGCGCCAGGACTGAGTTGCATGACGAAGTGGACGCTGGCGTTGCGCTCCAGCACAGCGAGAGGGGGCAGTCAGGCACGAGTGTTGGGGGCTGGAACGATAAGCCGCGACCAGCCTTACTCGTGATTCTTGGTTGCATTAATTATAGCAATTTGAGAAATTCTGATCTCTGAATTACTATAGTCAGGGTAATATAAAGTTTATATTGTCCAAATATTGACGCAATTTCCTGTACGCAGCACAAGCAGAGAACGGACGTAGCAAATATTTGCACTTTCCCGGGCCAATTAGGGTTAGGACAATCCACGCAAAGGAAAAGTACATCGCAACTTTACCCTTAAATTCTTCGTGTATCATAAATAATACTAATAAAATCTTTGCCTATAAATGCTAAGGTAATCAGATTTCTTGCCCGCAGCACGTCTAATATCAAGTATGATACACACCAAACAACACGAGAACGAAACGTGTTACATCGACGTTGTGTGGCGCGGTAAAAATATACGCCAGTGAGTGGACATGGAGTGGTCGGTGGCAGTGTGCAGAAGCTTCATATTTAGTGATTAATTTTGGCTTCTACGATTCTCTCACAAGAAAATAATCAACCTAATTTTTAATGCTATCATGATATTGGGAAGGCTTCAACAAGTCTTTTCATGTGGTTGTTCTCAATGAATAGGAGAAAAAGGCTTTGAATCATATCTGGTACAAGGCGCATATGGGCAACTTCGTCGCATCATATATATATGTATCATTGATATTATTTTTCTGACATTTTATGATTTTTCATGTATTCAAATAGCTATGTTATGCTATTGGTCTCGACACCCTTCACAAGATCCTTCCTTTTATGAACGAACTGCGCAAGAACTTTCAGACAGTTCCATTGAATGAGCGCCTTTTAATTGATGAACAAATTTGTCCGATAAAGAAAACAGCTTTCTGAGAAACAACAAGAGAGGGGCTATTAGTTCTTCGCTTTGAGTTCGTTCATGATTTTGAAATCTATACAGGCCCAAAAGAATGACCCTAAATTCAGAAGAAGCGATGAACCTGATTCGGGGGCTGCAGCCAGCGTAGTTGTGCGTCTTAGTCGAACTATCCAACAAAATTGCAATCACTAATAATACTTTGACAATTATCACACTTCCATCGACCTTGTCGCATATCTTGCAAAAAGATGTTTTTATTCTCTTGGCACTATTCACAGGAATCGTATTCCTCCAAATAAAATGCCGACAGAAGCTGAAATTGAGAAACTAGGACGAATTAAGTGCTCCAGAAGAAATGGTGGCCAATGTTGACGGGATCGACGTATTGTTGGTATTGTGGCAAGACCATAAGACCGTCAGTTTGATATCTACGCTAACTGGAATGCTGCCCATCTCTGCTGTACAAAGGTTTGATCGAGCTGCGCGGAAAACTATCACAGTAAAATGCTCCAATTTAGTGAAAGAATATAGCAAACATAAGGGTGGTGTATATAAGTTAGACAGTCTACTGGGCCGGTCGTACTGCAAAATAAAATCGCAAAAGTGGTACTTCCGTCTACTTTATCATCTTCTGAATGTCATCATTATCAACTGAACGAGATTACTAATAGACCTGGGTTATCAATAAATGGCTTAAGACTGTGCCTCTGGTTGGAAAGATAATAAAAGGATAATAACAAATTCTGCTAGTTTATTCTGGTAGTTGAGCGAGAGACTGAATTCTTTAGAAGAAATGAGTTGATGGCGAGAATTGTATCGGGTAAGAAAGGTGCTAGTATATAGGGTGGTAACAAAGCATATATGAGATCACGTATAGTTTATGTGTACAGGCGAGACTCAGTGAATTGTTTAATTTTAAACACAACACACAGTAAAGTTCTCGGCCAACTTTGTAGTAGCGCGCCAGAAGCTCAATAGGCTTGCCGAAGCTGTGAACCCTAACGATGTCGCCTGAGGGCTTTGGTTGCAATTGGCGCTACATACTAGAACTATCGAGAATAACATACCAATAATTAACATAACATAACATAGTGATGTCGGCGCTGGAGTGTAGGCCTGATGTGGCCTGTCGCCGATTCTTTTCCTTTTCGTGCCTTGTTCACAGAAGATCTAATATCGCGTTATTTGCCCGGATCTTTTCATGACTGGCGATAGTTTGAAGTAGCTACTAGACTTCCACCGGGTTCGATAAGGAGCTAGGCATTTCAAATCTGAACATATATCGATAACTGAGGCTTGGAAGCTTCATAATCTTCAATCTTTCTTCATAGGACTTGCCCTTCAAGCCAAGCATTAAACCGCAGCTGCCACGTATCAGCCCAGTTAACTAAGCTGTCAAGATCATCTTGCAATTGCGCTTTATTTGACACATTCTTCATTGTATTATAAACTTTTGTGTCGTCGGCATACATGGAGCACACGCTGGACACTACTTCTGGCAGATCGTTTATAAAAGCAACGAACAAAATAGGCCCCAGGACGCTTCCTCGTGGCACGCCACTGCTCACTGATGCCCAGTTTGACACGGTACCGTTAATACTGACACGTTGTCGTCTACCTACTAGAAAATCTCTGATCCATTGGAGTACGTTTCCCTCAATCCCCAATTCTTATACCTAGGATGAGCAGCAGTTTGAAACCTGTGGAATATATTATTTATTGACGTCATACATTTATTATTATTCTACTACGTTTATCGTTAATAGAATACTTAACTTCCGGGCTAGTTGAGGCGCCTGGAGTTGGTGTTAGCCTGCTCCTTGGGGTCGGGGGTTTATTCGATTCACCATTGTCGTCGTCTTGGTGAGAGCGCTCAAATCCTCCGCGGCCGAGGTTATTATATTATATTGTATTGTCATATTGTATTGTCATATTATATTGTATTTTCATTACCAGCACTTGAAATTATTACAAAACTATCGGATATTATATTAATTAGAGCTATATGGTATGATTGAGGTATGAGAGGTATGACTGTCCTCATACGCAGGTTAATGTAAGTGCGAAAGAGTTCGAGCACACTAATTGCTGCCATTAGTTATACGGATAATGGGTTTGAACTTTTTCTAGGTGTACCTGAAATAAAGTAATAAATGAAAAAATAAACTCGCTTGCTACCCTGAACAATTGCCAATGAGTGCATGCGTGATCGTTGAAGACTGGTTTCAGAGGAATAGCCTGATAAGTCTACATGAAGACAAATTCACTTCATAATCGGCTACAGAGCTTTCATATATTTTGAACTATGAATATTACTGTATATCAGAGTATAGAATTCTACGAGATTCAATTTTAACAATTAATAACCTTAGTTTATTACCTCCATTCTGGACGGATCTGCATGAAATACATTGTTTAGTAAGCATTCGTCTGTTTTTTTTTATTTTTCGCACCGATTTTGTTTATGTATTTACGTATTCATATTACATTCACGTACACGCATTCTAGCAAGGTTTTCTATATATATATTGTTCACTGTGTATTATTCTGTATATATATTAGTCATCCGATTCATGTTATCTTTCATTTATTATAGTTTTGTTATTTGTTGTCACTAGTCTGGATCGAGACCCAAGTC